GAGAATATTAGGTATAGAATTTTTAACATACATTTATTTTCCTATTTAGTAGGCGGGATAACGAATTCTCAACGTTCGCCTTTGTTTTTGTGCCCGCGCGGTATCGTGCGACGTCACGCAGGTGATTGTTTACGCGAAGGTCGACGCGCTATCATTCGCCCGCCGAACCTCGAGCCGGCAGGCAGTGTCGAGAGTCGCTCCGTGTGTCGTATTTCTTTTACGTTATCAATTTCCGAAACGCGATCGCGATCAGCATGAGACTAAAACTCTATCGATTTGTACACCTTTATCAGTAACAAGTAACGTTTCGTTGATTAATTATTATGTTTCTACAACTTGTAATGAGAAATTGTGTGTCGAGGCATCGGCTCTTTACCAACGTACATAGACATTTCACGAGACTAACTTATCTAATAAAATATAATTGTAAATCGTGGTACTTCATCGTGAATGCATCTGGTTCACGCATCGTGTTTTGAATTATATCTGTCGATTTCTGTGTAATCTGTACGTCTTTCAGTTTCAAGAAACGATAGAGAAATGTGTTGGCTTTAGTATTTGCGTTGTTTGCTGTGTTTCGTTCTATTATATTTCGTAGCTATAGGCAGGAAGTAGAGAAAGTCGCTACGTTATATTTCGAAATTACGGATTATCTTGGCTAATTGCTATAATTAATAGACTTGATCGTAGTGGGTGTATCGCTCGCACAATTCACTTCGCGTAAGGATTGGATTGTTTAACAATTCGGATTGCAAAATATCGTTTCGTCGCGGATTAGTAACTTATACTTCTTACCGCAGGTGTTTTGATTCCGACACTCGCATCGCATTTTATATCGTACATTTAAAAGTGACTTATTCATTGATACTTTCGAACTGAGAATGTAAAATAGTACGTGAGTTGTCGGATTAAATTATTTACGTGTCTAGAAAGTTACATTTCGTAGGCGAGAAAACAAATTCCCAACGTTCGCCTTTGTTTTTGTGCCCGCACGGTATCGTGCGACGTCACGCAGGTGATTGTTTACGCGAAGGTCGACGCGCTATCATTCGCCCGCCGAACCTCGAGCCGGCAGGCAGCGTCGAGAGTCGCTCCGTGCGTCGTATTACTTTTACGTTATTAATTTCCGAAACGCGATCGCGATCGGTACGGGAATAAAACTCTATCAATTTGTACGCCTTTATCAGTAACAAGTAACTACTTCTTTACCGCAGATGCTTCGATTCCGACACACGCATCGTATTTTATATCGCGCATTTAAAAGTGATTTATTCATTGTTGCGAATCGAGAATGCAAAATAACATGCGAGTTGCCGGGTTGAATAATTTGTGTAACGGAAAGTCATACGACACATGAATAATACTTTGTGCGTTTCGCGGTATTTCACATCGCGTACGGGAGTGCCCGAAATTTCGCGCGATCGATGATTTTCGAGAGTGAGTGTTGTGTGAGTGCCACAAGGAAATCTGAGAGGAGGAGGAGGAGGCCTGTGGGAGGCATCGGGCAACGGCGGAGCAACCATAAGGTGAGTGTTTTATTCTATATATATTATTTGCTACGTACAAAATTAATATCTACTCTCTGCTCGTTTTATTTATTCAAATAACTCTTGAATAAGAGTTGCAGACAAAGCTATACGTTGAAATCTCGTGAGTTTGTATTTAAAAGAAAGAGATTTTTTCGAGTACTTCATGATCATTTTATTAAATATCCATTTAAAGAATATATAAAATATTTAATACAATAATCCGATTTTACATCATTATTCTATAATACTCATATAATATATATTTGTATTTTACAGTTCAACATAGTTTACGACAACTCCGCTGTTGCGCATCGTATCGGTGAGTAGTAAACCTTCTATTTAAAAAATTTATCTAACAAATCTATTCTATTCTATTATATATAAAAATTGCAGTAGATCTACATTACGTAGTAAACAAAATATTTATGTACATCGAGTGTATTTATGTGAAATAAAAATAAATTGTGTAAAAATCAAATAGGCTAGAAAAAAATTGACAGTATCTTTAATAGTTGATGGAGAGAAAAGAAGTTAGAGAGTGAGAGAAGGAGAGGCGTGTAGCGCACGCAATGCTATGTTCTAGTACTTGTAAAAGATGCGGAGAGAAATACTTAGGATCTTTTAAATTTAACATACTGAAAAATAAAAAAGATGAAGTTATGGATTTTTATAATTAGGCAATTAAAAATCTCCGAATTTAATTTCTAATTTTCTAATTTTTTTTTAATCAATCGCGACTTATTAGCGGCCACTTTTATTACAAGTCTGAATGAATGCGTTTTTCTCAGCACTGAAATTTCAGTATTGTTCTATATCATTACCGCGTATGAACGGGCAAGTATAATAATTCAAGGGGCGCGATAACTTAACCGGCAATGCCCATAATTTCTCTTGCGTTGAGAAACGCCACGCAAGAATTTTTCATATTCGCCGCGAACATTGATCGAGGTACGATTTTATGACCCAATTATGCTCGCCAAATGGCCGCCTTTTGACGATTATGTTCATGACAATGGCGTGTTCCGCGTCCCGAAACGTACAATTTTGCCAACGTCGTGAATTGTACGCGCTCTCGGAAGGACTCGGAGACGGTATGATAGTAATCGCATTCCGACCAATTAAACTAGTCCCAATGATCAGTCTAATTAATCATTGCAGGTATCATAATAGCTAAGCAATTACTTCAGCGTGAATTAGTTCGTTGTCGATCCCGTTTTGAAGTACCGCAGCCGCATAATTGTCAACCTATGAATGTCAAGTAATTTACGGAGGTTTAATTAACGTATTAACAAGTCATTTTACTCATAGGGATGTAATTGTCCATATCTTAAACAATATATTTTGTCGATAAAGTAAAGAAAATAAACATGCAGAAAACACACTATCATTTTTACGAAAATAAGGATATATATTTCAGTATAATACAATAAAAAGTTGATCATAGTATTATGTGGAATAGATAGAAAGAAAACTTTTGAAAACGGAAATAAAAATAATATGTCACATTACAGTTTACATTACAGTCCTCATTGTATATCTAACGTTAATTACGACAGCTCATCTGTAATTTATTCGACGTTACAACAGTTTGTAGTGGTTCCATTTTCTGTAAAAATTTCACAGGCCAGTTGCAAGTAAAAACATTGTACAATATTCACAGTTTCATACAGTGTCGTATACACATGGTATAATATTCACAGTAACGTACCATGTCGTATACGCAACGTGGTATAATATCGCAATATTACTTTGGACGGTACACCGCGCTAAATATTGATTATCTTTGAAAATGAAACGTATTTACGCGATTATTAAAGAAATTACAGCTCGTGGCATCTTCTCCATGTGGCTATATTCTAGTTTATCCTAAGCGTAAAATAACAAAATTAACGATAAATAGTTAAAATTGATAATAATGGGTAACGTGCGCGCAGTCTTTTCGGCTCCAAATTCGAAAAATACACGAAACAGCGAAGACACAAAATACGGTCTCACTACGATAGTGGTCAAGGAGATAATGAGACGCCTACATTTCCTTCAGGCTTTTAACGAAATTTATGAGCCGTTTCTTTCGCTAAATGTTGGGTGCACAGCACAGTTGCGGCTGTTGCAAATGTGGTGCATATTTCAACGAGCATAAGCTCGCGTAAAACGATTACACGAATGTAGCTTCGTTAATATCCTTATAGTGGCACGGGATATAAAGTGCATAAGACGATTTATCGCAAATTAAAGAACGAGAAGCGCGCATTGCATAAATTGGGACCGAAAGAGACCGCAATGAGAGAAAACTTTTTACAACGATCACGTGTTCTACTTTCAATTATTTAAAACTCGTTCGACTTCTGCAGTTAATAATAAGACGAATTGTTAGTTAAAAAAGTAACCGCTAAATTTCGTTAAAGAAACAATTGTCCGGAAATGAAATGGCTCGTAATTTTAAGCCATCGGGAACGCAAACTCGTCCCCAAACGCAAATACACATAATGTGGCTAATAGACTGGGGGTGTCTAAAAAAAGATCGGAATCAGAAATAGAAAGAAATGAGGTCAATTGTTGAAAAGAAAGTGTACTTCGTTAAGAAAATCGGCCGATAAGACATCTTGTCGTAGCAATTCTCATTATTTCCCGGATAATTATATCGTTTATCTCTTCCTTTCTTTGTCAATATCTTTTTCTTTATAGTACGCCAGCTAAACTCGCAATGAATCAAATTGCATCTCCATATCGACATTTAAATTTTCTATCGCATTTCCTCGTTGAATGTCTTTCCACTTCTTCGCTATTAAATGACTACTTTTCTAAATTTCTCTTCTCTGAGATATCCAGATTAATTTTCACCGATTTCTTTTTTCATAAAAAAGTTAATTGGATCTTTCTGCTCCAGCTTTGCAATTACACACAATTTTATTGTATTGCATAAGGTACATACTGTGAAGTTTCGTCTCATTTTTATAAAATATTAAATTAAATTTGTTTCCTAGGGAAAATATCGAGAGATTAATAACATTGAAAATTTGAGCCATTAAAAATAAAATGGTTTTGAGAACTCGAAAATACGCTAATATTTTTCGTGTAAGTAAATGAATTAACAACACAGCAAATTTTGTTTTACTTGAATATAATGTAATTTGAAGAAGACTCTAATACAATTCTAACCTCTTATTCCACAGCGGGTGTTAGATAGTCTCACCAATTTCCTCTTTCTCACGATAGACACTATTACGATAGATGATAAAAGAAAGTCTTAATCTTATAGAAAATTAGTTTCTGGTGTTGTTAAAGAAATAAGAACTTTGCAGGTTCATTTATTGCAATGACATCGAATAATAATTGACAGACAGTTGTAGATGAATAAGATACATTGGGATGTTAACTTGTTTTAAAATTTGCAATTGTCATTTAATATTTTTAAATCTGATATTTTATAAAATTACAAAAAAATGAGTTAAAATACAATTTTTCTGAACTTTTCTTTAAAGAAACTCCTGTGATAGATACATCTAACTAAATTCGTATCGATTTATGGAAAAGTGAATTTGGCTAGCCAAAAATTAACTGAGTAAAGAAAAAACTTTTTGACTCTGTTTTCCATTTTCTGGTCAACTGTTAACTAGAGGTTAGTCAACTCTCCAACTTTTTCTACATTGTTATCTAAGAAGAGACAGGTAGTCGACTAACCACTGATTAACATTTAACCAGAAAATGAAAAACCGGCCCTTAATATTGACACAATATATATATAATGCTATTATAATAATAATAAGAACTTGATAAGATTAAAATATAAAATAAAGTATAAGAAATTCATATAACTATAATCTAAAATTTTCCGAATACATAATTTAAGAAATACAATAGATTCCATATTCAGTCGATTTGGATAATCAGGATTCATGTAATCAATATTTTATCGTATCTTCAATCAAGGTACTGCATTTATTACCAATAAATATTAAAATTTGTCCGATTGAGAATAGTGGAAACGTCGAGGATTATTAAACTACGTAATCATTATAACGGGTACGGTTGTGCAAGGATAGATTTTCATCCGGCATACCGTAATAAATTGCGGCGGTTTTTATTGCGCCGTGAAACACGCCGATAACACCTGCGGTTGCAGCTCGGTGCATCTCGCATCTTTCTTCGGCCGTCTTTTCTTGTTTCCACCCACATACACACAGTAGAAATATATCACGAAACCCAGGCGCTATATCCCGAAGACAGACGAGCCGCGTCGATGTATCTATTTGCGTGTATTCTATTTGGCGAGAAATGTGAGAGACAGGCAGAGTTCATTCCGGTGATCGCCGCGTCGTATCTCGTTTCGACAAATTGTACAATGACAACCGCACGGGTAGATTGTGTCGACAGAAGAAATTTATACTATTAAGCGCGTTAAATCTAACTAACTAAATCTCCCGATACGCTATAAAAAATTTATTTGAATTGTCCCAAATGTAATTTGAGGCTATCTACAATTCAATGTCAAATTGTTTTAAATCTCACAGATTTAACGCGCCGCAAATTCTTTTGAATATAAATCAAATCAGACTTTATTTAAGATTCACGCCTGAAATTGGATACAACATTCGGTTTACTTAGCAAATAAAATGGGAAAGATTTTTAATAAACTGCGAAATAAACCCCTTTTGTAAAACCGTGAAAGACTCTGCGGGAGAGACTTACCGCTGCCTTACATTTTCTTTGTACGCCACGTACAACAGCCTGCTACTTAATGGCCGCGATATTTCATGCAAATTTCGACGATTTATCGCCAACGATAAATGAGTATGTAAATATGAGTCGGTAGATACGGCCGAAACATTGTGCTTTTCGCTACATTCCAATTGTTTACCAAGAAAACAGACTCACGTGCTATCGCTGAAATTCGATTTCTCGTCGGACGGACGGGCAATTTATTTGCGGCTGAAACTCTATTTTCAGGGCATCGCCAGTTTCATTGCCCTCTCGTTGGAGTACAACATCTGTGTCGCAGTCAGCGAGAAGATCCTGAGAAACTCTAGGACCGAAGACTTTGATAGAATCATCGAACGACTGAGCTCGAAGCACAACGCCAGGGGAGTCATAATATTCGTCGACGAGGATAACATAAGGTAGGATTAATCTTGCACGTGCGCGCGCGAGTACGCCTCCGTTGCATTTAAATAAGGTCGTCACTACATAAAGTACGGTATGAGGAGACATTGCAAAAAGCGCGATTGTTGAAATCTGTCTCGCATGAAAAATGCGGTGTGTTCGCTTTATTTATTTTCTTTTTCTGCACACAGAGCAGAAAAATGGAATTACTGGACTGCGAGGGGAATGTTTTTTTTACTCTTTTCACCGTGCGTTCTATATTGGACGAAACGTTCTCAAACATCGGAACAAATTATAGTTTTTGTGTAACTTATTTTTATATATTTTTATTATATAACATGTGCTCGCGTAGCGCTCGTCGAATTAAGGGAGCGTATATCCAACGCAAAAATTGAAAATACAAATATTGAAGTGTATAATTTTCTTAGTGTAAAAAGTTATTTTTAATATACAGAGTATGTATATATATTTAAAAATGCAACCTTTTATGCAAACTACGCTCGATGATAAATGAAAAAATTACTGCGCTTCACAAAAGCATAAGCAAGGAAATTATGGACGTGTTGAAGTAAAGAATTTACAATTATTATAATTATATTAATTTGAAGCATTATTCTTTAAAACAATTACTGTAGCGTTTCATGATCGGTTTAATCCCGATAATGCATATTTGAGTAACCATGACGCAGCCAAGTAGCGAAATTCGCTCCAAATTCCTATGTCAAAATCTGCTACATAATGACGTAATATCGGCGAATAATGTGGGACGTGTAATTTCCGATTATCCTAAGATCTAAGGCGATATCGACAGAAACAATATTGAATTAGGAAGTCGACGCCCGCAATTAGGAACGAGCGAGTTAAATGTACGTGCCTTCGGCGCTTTTATGTATATTTTAAGCTAATTACGACTATGAATTGTCATAGTAATGACAAAACGTCTGGCATTAAACGAGCCTTATTCGTCTTTTGCATAATCAACGTCAGAAAACAATTGTGTGAACGGACGGGTGTCGAAACGAGGTAAAAAGGATTTTAGAATTCTGAATTGCATGCGGAAATTTTTACGTTTGAACAAAAAAGGGACAACCGTTCCAACGCGATTTAGTATTGCTCTCTTTCCAAGTGTCGTTATCAGGTCAAACAGATTTTTGCCTTTCCTGAAAGCATGATGTTTTTTAAAATGAAATTGTCGAAGGATATTTGAGGAATAAAATTTAACGCTCGGACCTGCGAGCTTTAGAGAATGAAGCGTTAGATTTTTGAAAACGACGTGCATTTCAACGAAGAGTTAAAAGCGAATCGGGGCGTAACCGAGCGGACGAGATAACAGGACGGCGATTAATCTCGCGTTCTATAAAGTCGATACCGGTCGGCTTTTAGGGCAGGCAAAAGATGAACGAAGACGAGTGATCGATTCACTCGCGTTGGTAATTCGAAATTCTGGCTATACAATTTAGTTGAAAAACGCGCGTTGAAAACTGCGCGACATTGTCGTAGCTAAATAATCTATTAAAGTCAGAGCGTTAGACTCGACGTTAAAATCACGATGATAATAATGGATACGATTTACTGCTTTTCGATATTTTTGTCAATATGTTTTTCTGAAAGTTATAAGTGAAACGAATTATTTGAATACAGCTTTCATAAAAAAATCGATAATATCAGCAATAAAGGTGTATAATCATTATTTAATCATTATTACTTTTATTTACAATTATATTTATACACAGTTTCTAAATGCACGGCCTTATAAAATTCCTGTTATAAACTCCAAGTAATTAATGCAACGATCAATGACTCTGCGCGAGCAGTCTTGTAATATTTTTTAATAAAATTACGCATTTACTTAATTAAATGGATCGATCGTTTGGAACGTACGCTTGTTACTAGACTGCATGGATATTTAAGTAAATATCGTTGATCTTTTACTAAAACCCATTTTGCGACAATGCTTTTGCAATTAATATTTACCAAAGTGATGAAATAAAACAATCGTGTGTAAAATTAATCGTGAAACCCGAGATCAACGAAAAACCGCATTATTAATCATTTATACAGTGATAGCGACGCGAATGCGTGCCTGGTATTCGCGCATACGCGAGTGCATCGCATTTCATTCGCAATCCCTTATAAGCTATCGTTCAAATCCGGACGGAAAATCATTCATTATAGAGACAACTACGGACTAAAGCAACACATAATTGCAAATTTTGATTATAATTACACTGGCGTTCCGACGCTTAACATAGACGAATGGAAAATCTATTTTAATCAATTATTAAGCGACACTGACGAACGCAATTATTACACGATTCGCAATGTTATACAGAAATTTCATTAAGAAATGTTACAATATTCTTGCGTCTCTATTGCAACGTTTCATTACGGAGAAGCGTTCTTTCATGATTGCAATTTCCAAGTCAGCTTTATTCTTTTTATCGTCGGTACGCTATTTATATTTGGATAAATGAGCCATTTAGTAAATTACTGATATCTGGAACACAAGAAAATTTTTTTAAAGTTCTTAATGTAATTTAAAAAAATACTAAAATCCAGCTGAAATCCTATTTTATTATAATTCTTTCTTCTGCAGTCGTGAAGAAAAAAGTTGGAAAAGAGTCCTCGCGAAGAATTTTATGTCCAGTTTATGCACCAGTAATTAGATATAAAACTCGTAAAAAATTACCAAGTATTATAATTAAGTGTTATTATGAATACGCTGAAAGTATTTTTTTTAATATTATAAATATATATTATTTATTACTGCTCATTTATATTGTAATATATCGATATTTTTATAAGGAATTATGCAGTTAAAGAAAACTACGAGAAATTTATTTTTTTTTATTTCTTCCGTCCGTCGAAATGCACTTCGTATTTCAATTTTTTCTCGGAAAGTCCTCGGGTCTCTTTTCCGATATATTTGATCGTAAGATGTAGCCCACCATAGAATGTTATTCGAAAGTTTCTCGCAATGTTGAAAATAGTTGCCGAAGGTGACCAAGTTCTCGACGATACCGAATAGCTGGCAATGTCGAGCAAATACTGGAAAGCAAGCAAAACGCGGAAGGGACTGTGCCTCGAAGAGTCGAAAACTAAACATAACGGCTCGCCCGAATGTGTGCGACTGCGATCCAACTTTTTTGCGTAGCGTATTTTTGCTGGAACAAGCGTGGATTGCTCAATTTAGTTGTTTTAACTACAGGTGTGAGGAAACGTAGAGAAAAAAAATCTGGCAACATTATATTATGCATCGAAAACTTCTATTATTCCTATTATGTTTATTATTCTAAGAGAATTTCGCATTGCAAGCCAAACTAGACTGAATTTCATACTCAAATTTGTGATTCATATTTACCTAACAAATATGGTAATTTACCGCATCGTAATGTACAGTAGAATTTTTGTAATTAAATATTGCTTTAATCGTTAAATACACTATATCTTTCAAAATACATTATTTTACATATACACACAAAACAACCAACTCTGTACAGAATCTCGTAGTAATTAATTTAAACGGTTGTAATCAGAGTTACAATGAGAATTCACGTTTATTCGTTTGTGTAAAATTTTTACAACGTAAAGCAATAACGTATAAAATCGTTATAATTTTTCTTTTTAATAAAAAGTACTTTGAAATTGTTTTAAACAAAAATATATAGTACTACGGGTAATTAATTTGAGGAAAACAAAAAGTAATAGATATATAAATCATCGAAGCAACCTTCCACAAAAATACTTTTATATGCTATGTATATTATCATCTTGGACCTTCTCCACATATACTATGCATAATACACACACGTAATACAAACATAAAGTTTTTTTACTGCATATTTTAAGCAATGTACGTACAACTATATTATAGCTGGATCTGGAAATTCTCCAGAGACGTGCAACTTTTTGTCACTCGATATGATTTCACTCTTTGCATCCATAAAGATGAATTATGACAATCGTCTCGTTCGTAAAACTAATTTAATGCTTCTGGCGACGCACCAATAGCCTTTGAATTATTGGCAATGAAAGATTTTCTCGTCTCTAACAGAATTGTTATTTTTTGGCTGTATTCGCAGGGGCGTTTACATCTGAGATTCTTTCTTGGAAAAACTTTAATTGCGTAATATATAACATTTATATGAGTATTAAGTATTCAACACAATGTTTGCAAAGTAGGTATATTAATTTTAAAAAGAACCTATAAACAGAACTCAAAATTACATATCTATAAAATATTATTTTTACAAAACGGTGAAACTATTTGCATATATTTCCTGCCGAAGCTGACGAATGGCGTTTATCGTAATGACATCTAAATTTTGCATCGCTTGTTTTATATTTACGAACTTTGGAGCATACAAGAATGAACGACGCCATCGTTTCTCGCTAACGAGGATGAAAAATACGGAATTAGCGGATTAACGAGTTAGTCCTGCAGTAAAATAATAATTCGGCTTTCGTGTTGGTTTCTAATCAATCATAGATGGCCGTATTACGCAGCGTCCATTATCAAACTTGTTTATCAGCTCTTATTTCGTTATCCGGAAAACAACGTTGTCTGTATGCACATATTATTTCATTTATTGTGAGCACTTAGGTAAAACCTCAATGGAACGATAAATTTATTTAATATTCATATATATAACAATATATTAATAAAGCATTGCCTTTTTATTATTATCACGATAAGCGAACCAATTTTATCTACATACATACAACTAACACGTGTCACATTTATATATTTTTATGTAAAGATACTACAGTATTGTTCTTTTTTTTTCTTTTTATACCATTATTAATCTCCGCGGGACTTTCCTGGGCTTTTCACGCGACGATTGTCTCGCGAAATTTTCTGATGTTTTTAATATCTAGAAGAAAAACTCCGTGTCTCGCGGTCTTCGCGCTTTGAGAAAGCTGCAGCGCGCATGTTTCTTCGCCGTAAGAAGAAATAAATGCAAAACAGCCTGATATTCATCGCGCAATCCCTGGTCGCTTTGAACACAAAGAAACC